ATCATTTTATCATGTTTGTATACAATCAGAGACACTAAGACTAGTTTCTATAATGAATTAAAGTCAGTATGTTGCAAAATGTATTAGTTTTTTCAGCCTCAAAATCAGGCATGGAGAACATTATAAATAGCTGGAGTCACTGGAAGAAAAGGTCTGTCGTAGGTAAATATATTGAGTCATAACACTATACTGATAATCCATACAAATGTGGCAGTCTAGTAAGAAATATTCATAACAATATTGAATATTAAGAGCTTGATTCAAATCTTCGCAAGGACCGAAGTACTGGTTTGGCATGACCAAATAATGTATTTCAAAACAGAGGTTATGCCTTTTTTTTATTTTTGCAAAGTTATGTTGGACCAGTAGCTCTCATTTGTATTCTTTTCATCTTCTGGTGCCTGCCGTGAATATCACTACGGCATACAGAAAGAACAGAAGTTTAGGCCTACGAAATATCTCAGGATCTTCTTGCCAGTGCATTGCACACATCAGTGAAGTCTTCAGAGATGAATCAAAAAGCAATTACCAAATACATTCTCAATTTAGTCAACTCTGCTTTGGGCAAGTGTCCATATCGTGAAAATCAGCACCAGAACTATCATCTTTCGCTATGTTTTCACATTGTCTCGGGGGCAAGGACAGAACAACCAGTGAAAACCAAACTCGTTTTCAATGTTAGGTAACAGACCTGCTGAGAAAGCAAGTCTGTTAATTTCACCAGTCTTTGTTAATGCTGCATTGTTTGGGGATTATGTTCTTCGGTAAACACTGCTGTTCATGTGACCTCTCATGACGCTACTGTTATTTGTTCAGTTGTATTTTATGTACAAACATTTTATGATTGCCCTAAAATATGAGACTTAAACATCACAAGTATACTGCTCATACAGTTCCTTTACTTTGGAAAATAGAGAATCTCTTGAGTGAACTCCCTATTCTCTTTGCCTTTGCACAGGGAAAGATTTTGGAAAATATTGGCATCTGCAGTCAAGTTAGCTTTGTCCGGTACCTTCAAGGTAGAAAGACTCTAGGAGCGGACCCGAAGCTCTTCATCAAGGACCTGTGTTTTGAGAAAGTGCCTGTAAGGATTTATCAGCCTAAGGTTCCATCTGCCAGCCAATGGAGAGGAGTTATGTTTTTCCATGGAGGCGGATGGGTATTTGGAAGTCTTGGTAAGATATCTAACAGAAAAAATATTATAATTTAGTTAAAGATGTATCTACTTCACAAATGGTAAAGTTGATTGTCACTTGATCTGTAGCAGTTACAAAGTTCGAGTATAACCACAGATGCACTCCCCTAAGTCTTGCTGTCAGAAGAAAGCATCTGCTGTGCATTATGTGCATTTTTCTTAAAGACAAGGACAATGAGATATGAGGGGAAAAAATACAGTAAGCAAATACTGAAATAGGAAGATGAGGGGGTACAAAAGATCTGAGGAGCTATGTAGGAAGGGGCAGAGAAAAGTAGAGATTATTTTCTTCGTGCAATTCTTTGACTTATGTAATAGACAACATCAGTACTCTGGCAAAAAAAACAAACAAAAACCAAACCCCAAACCCACCAAATATGTTTCTTTCAGAGTCCCATGAAAAGTTATGCCGCTCTATTGCCAGAGAAAGTGAATCAGTGGTTGTATCTGTTGGGTGAGTCTTTCCTCATGCTGTTTTTCAGAGATTATTTCCTACAGTGTAAATATCACCTTAGAGCTTCCCTGATCATAGCAACAACCATTCTCAGAGAAAGGTTTCTGTGGAACTTGTCAATCAATGTTTTCAAATTCTAAACTCAAAATTTATAGTAACCAGATAGTAAGCCACATATTCTACTTAATCTTTATTCAAGGAAACTCTGCTCGATGCTTACAGAAGCACTACATGAATAGCAAGCTAATATCATCACCAATATACTGACATAATGATTTGGATTATGAGGCTATAGTTGCACTGTAACAAAGACATAAAACAGAAGTACTGTCATTTGTATCTGACACATGGAAAGCTAAAACATAAACCGACTAAATGACTGTCAATAAAACCTAGACATAGTTGGCAGTTGAGTACTCCTGTGTTGTTAAAGACCTGAGAAACATCCTAAACAGATAACATCCTAAGAAGTTAATCTGCACCACGTGGTCCAACTAGCTGCCGTTTATTTATGACAACCTGTGGAGAAAGGGAAAATTCTGAGGTAATCAGGGTTATTGCTGGTTGCAGGAACCAGTATTTTCAGCAATACATTTAAAACTAGTATTTCCCTCATGTACTTTTGTTGTATCCTTTTGTGTACTAGGTATCGTTTAGCTCCTGAACACAAATACCCTGCTGCGTATGAAGACTGCCTTAATGCCACCATACACTTCATGAAGAATACAGAGCACTATGGGGTGGATCCTGCCCGTATAATTATCTGCGGGGACAGTGCTGGCGGCAATCTGGCAGCTGCTGTTAGCCAGACCCTTGCAGGTAGATCAGACCTCCCCAGACTACGTGCTCAGATCTTGATCTACCCGGGCCTTCAGGCACTGGACTTCAATTTACCATCCTATCAACAGAATCAGAGAGTCCCTCTCTTATTCCGAGAATGTGCCGCCTTCTTTGTTTTGCAGTACCTAAATGGGGATGCACCAAATTTGGAAGAGGTCTTGGAGGGTTCCCATATGCCTATAGATATTAAATTAAACTACAGGAAGTGGGTGAGTCCAGATAACATCCCTGAAAAATTTAAGGTCAGAGGCTACAAACCACATGTGCTACTTGACTGTACAACTGAAGTTTATGAGACAGTGAAAAGATTTTGTGAGCCCAACCTGTGTCCGCTGTTAGCTGAAGACGCTATTGTTCAGCAGCTGCCCGAGTCTTTCATCTTGACTTGTGAGTATGATGTGCTAAGAGACGACGGCTTGCTTTACAAGAAGAGACTGGAGGACAACGGTGTTCGAGTGACCTGGTACCACCTTGAGGATGGATTCCATGGAATCATAAATTCATTTAATAGTGGCTGGTTATCATTTTCATCTGGAAAAAGGGGTCTTGACAATATCGTGAACTTTCTAAAAGGCTTATAGAAACAATTTTCTTTCCTTCTGTAAGAACTGCCAGTTTTCTGTGGTCTTTTATGCTTCTAAATTCCATGTAAGAGGTTTAGATAGCACAATTTATTAATGAGCAATTATGCCAGTGTGACCACTGAAAAAAATATTTCAGGAATGCTATGAGAGTTTCTTTTAGTGTTGTTTGAAGTATTCCATCTGCAGTCTGCCTATTTTAATGATCTATTTGGACTAGGCGCTTACTACTCTCTCAGTAAATATTAAAGATACAGTAAAATTTTAAATCAACATCTGGTCTGACCCATTTTATTCAATCATGATCTATGGTTTCATTCTTCCTAGAAGGCTAAGTGTGTTTTGGTAAAGGAGAAAGATACTGATATTACAATGCTGTAACGCAGTGCCTGTCCTGTATGCTACACATAGCATCTGAGCCTAAGATTCCCAGTCACTGACTTGCAGAAAATTTCTATGAGCTAGGTAACTGGTATTTTAGACTTGAAAAAATGAAGTCAAAACTGTAACTGTCCCCAACAGAGACACTCTATTAACAGCTTTGTGTAAATTAAAATGGAGGAAATGCTCTAAGTGTTTTCCTATGTTTATCAAACATACGAGTATGCTAAAAAACTTGTTCCTGTGCTTAAATACTCTAACAACAAAATAAGATTGATGCATTTACTTTCGTAGAGCACACCTTAGCTTTTTTTTTTCCTCATGTTAGTTCTCGTTTTCTTTTCTAAATGTCCTTGTTAAAACTACTTATTCCAAATTACTTAATGTCCACAATACAGGAAGCAGTGTGTTGTGGCTGCAGATCAGACGCAAGAGGCAATTTAATCCCCACAGTAGTTGGCTCTCCTTGTAAACAGCAACTCGTCATAAACTAGAACTTCATTCAGTACTTAACTGCTATCTCTGAACAGTCATCCATAGCATCCGCAATCCAAGAATACCATGCAGAATACCAGGCCCTGTATCAGTCCCACAATTAATGTGAAGCTAAACAGGAAATTAAACACATTCTCCTCTGCCTCTTCTCCAATGTAATGCGTGCTGGCACCTTGCACAACATCTCCAAGGACTTTAAAGTGTGAGAGGTCTGGCACCTGAGAGATCTATTGTAACTTGGACTGCTCTAAGGTTTACTATTATCTGAGAAAGCTAAATCAAAGACAGGTGTAAAGACACCTCACTTTTGGTTAAGTGAAATGGCATTTTTTTATATACTGCCAGTGATACTGCTGGTGATTTTTACTGCTTCATTCATACTAGCAGTTATGGGAACAATTCAATCTGAGTACTCCAATTTCAGTATCCCTCCTGGAGTGAATCATCCTGGAAAGCTTCGACTTGTCCTTGCTTCTATGATTATTACATCTGCTATGGTGAGTTACTCTGCCATGATTTCTGCCAGAAATGTGGTTTAGGTGTTATTTTTGTAAGGTTATATGTGTAAAGACCAGAAACCTGCTGGCTGCATCAAGACTGAAATGAAGGTTTTCTTGTTTTGGGGGCTGACTTTAAAGAACAATTTTTGTAAAATCATTTCTGTTAGACCTCACATAGTTCAGTCAGATTTTCCCTATTACATAGGGATGAAGCCAACCATAAGAGTCCAAGCTTTATCAGCTGACCTTCCCTAATTCAGTTTAAGTTAATTATTTATAAAAAGTGAGATTGCTTTGATTTCCATTTTAGCTAAGCACAGATGATGTTTTTAGGCCATTCTTGGGGCTTTCCAGTAACACTGATGGAAGGCCGGGTGCTTCTTAAGCAGATAAAACCAGAGACTCATGGGAAACCTTAGAGGAACGACATCTGGGTTGTAAGCCTGTAAGCGGTGGGAAGCTGGTATGAAACCAAAGGACTTGGTGATGCTGAGAAGGAAACACCTTTTTTTCTCCCCTAAGACATTTTGCCTGACAGAGCGTGAGTCGGACGCATGGGCCTACCTGCTCAGGTGCACGGTGCCAAAGCAACTCTGCTCGCCCAGGCACGTAGCCTCACAAGGGACCGCCATGGCTCCATCTTCTCCTGTGCCAGCTTTCTGGTGAGGACCAGACCGGAGCGGCTGCTAAAGGCGAGGGTAGAGGCGAGTGGGTCTGGAGCAGGCTGAACCCCGTCAACACGAAGCCTGGGTGCCCCGTCAGGCCTCGCAGCGGCCGGGGGAAGGCAGGCGCAGGGTCTCCCTCACGGCA